AACCCCCATCTCCAACCACCCCCCCTGCAGACCATATACCTCTCATCTAAAAAAACCAACGATCATCCACCCCCTGTTACCCAAACCCTCAAGAAGAGCTCCTTGAACTTGAAACCTTTCTTCACAAGGAAATTTTGGACATCTGGAAACACACAAATTTTCAATCTAAAGATGACTCCCATATCAACCAATCCAGCCACAAGTTCTCTGTTAGCTACCTCTCTGATGAAGATTTGCCCATCTCAAAAGATCCTCAATCCCTTCAGAACCACTCAATTTTGCAAGAACAAGAAGTTTTCACCACAGTTAGCAGGCGAACATCAAAAAGGTTACAAGAAAAACTTTCAGCATGCAGTTCTTTCCCAAACAGTTTTTAATGAATTGCTTATTTTGGAACATAAATGGAATAGCCTCTAAAATCTAGAGACTAGCCATCCTCATCCAGCAACACAAAGTATCTTTTGCTTTCATCATTGAACCCAAATCCTCCATCAAGAAAATCATCAAGTTCTAACTAGAACTTGGATTCACTAATTCCATCAGCACTTCTAAAAACAAAATCTGGTTATTGTGGAAGGACACCTGCTTCAACTACATAAACCACTTTGAAACAGATCAAATCCTCACTGCTCACCTAACTTACCACACTTCCAACCTGGAAGTCTTCATTAGTGGCATCTATGGGAAACACACCATTGAAGAAAGGAAAGATCTTTGGGGTTCAATCATGGCTCACAGCAAAAAAGAGAATCAGGCCTGGATTCTTGGAGGGGATTTCAACACCATCACCTCTTTAGACCACTATAAAGGCAAAAGCTCCCCCAATCTTCAAGGTATCCAAGAATTTGATCATTGCATCATGGAAAGTGGCCTCATTTCTCCCCCATTTTCAGGCAACCCCTTCACATGGACTGGTATCAGATCCTTGGGCAGAGTCTGGAAGAGGCTAGACAGGGTTTTTGTTAACAATACCTTTCTAGACAATTTCCAATAGATTAACTTCATGCATATTTCTAGGGGAACTTTATTTTGGTCAAAGCCTCTAACCCCGCCTTTAATGGTCTAAGACCATTCAGGTTCCTCAACTGCTGGCCAAATCACCCTACCTTTAAAGCTCTCATAAGCAGAAACTGGGACAAATACTCTGGAGGAGGCATGATGGGTCTTATGAACAAACTGTTCAATCTTAGAAAGGAACTTCACACTTGGAACAGGACAGTCTTTGGGAATATTTTCAACAAAACAAAAGAACTTGAATCCTCAGTGCTTGAAGCAGAACTTCTTTATGATGAAAATCCCACTACTGAAAATAGAACACATCTTCATCATCAAAAAGCACTACTTATTCAAGCAACAAATAATGAGTTCTCCTACTGGAAGCAGAAAGCAAGCATCAAATGGATTAGAGAAGGAGACTATAACACCTCCTTTTTTTCATTCTCTTGTTAAAGAAAGAATGATTTCACAAAAGATTCATAAAATCAGGTCTGAGGGTGGACAGTGGATTCAAGACAAGGATGACTTGCTTAAAGAAGCCAACTTCTATTTCCAGCAACTCTACTCTAAAAAGGTCAGTGAAAATACTGAGGATTTCCTCTCACACATTCCAAAACTCCTCACTGTTGATGACAACAGTCTGCTCACCCAACTCCCTAATGAGGAAGAAGTCAAAGATGCCATCTGGAATCTAGACCCCCTAAGTGCTGCAAGCCATAATGGATTCACTGGAGAATTCTACAAAAGCTGCTGGGACATTATCAAGGAAGATGTGGTAAAAGCAGTTAAGGAATTCTTTCTAGGAATCCCTATTCCTAAAAGTTTGAATGAATGCTCCATTATCCTGATCCCTAAGAAAGATAATCCCATCACCTTTGAAGATTTCAGGCCTATTTGTCTCTCAAATTTCATAGCCAAAGTCAATACCAAAGTTATATCTCAGAGATTAAGAAACTTACTTCCTAAATTAACCTCTGAGGAACAGGGTGGCTTTGTCAAAGGAAGGCAGATCCATGACCAAATTTTGACTGCCCAGGAGATCATCCAGAACTTGGACTACAAGACAAGGGGAGGAAATATTGCCATTAAGCTGGACATGTCCAAAGCTTTTGATAGGGTATCTTAGGACTATTTACAAGCCATTCTAAGGAAATTGGGGTTTGATCATAAATTTATCAATCTGATCCTCAATAACCTAAAAGACACTACCCTCTCCATCAACATCAATGGCTACCCTTCCAAATCTTTCCAACCCAAGAGAGGGCTCAAACAAGGAGACCCACTCTCCCCTCTTCTTTTCATTTTGGCAGCTGAAGGATATAGTAGGGGTCTGAACTACAGAGTCAACACTCTAAAGATTGAACCTTTTAACATGGGGAGACACTCACAAATCATCTCTCACCTAGCTTTTGCAGATGACCTTCTGATCTTTCTTAAAGGAACAGCTCAAAATTTGGCTAGATTCTCAAAATTCCTAAAAGCTTATGAAGATGCTTTAGGGCAGACCATAAATCTTCACAAAAGTTTTTTCTACCCTCCTAAGAAAATCCAAGTGGCACAAATCAACAGAATGGGAAATTATTTGGGCATGAAGAGAGGTTTCCTACCTTTCAAATACCTGGGAACCCAAATCCACAAAGGAATCAACAGACTCAAATATTGTACTGATTTGCTTAACCACTTTGATTACAAGCTTAAAGGTTGGTACAAAAAATTCTTATCACAAGGAGGGAGAATGATTCTCATTAAGCATGTTCTTAGTTCTATCCCACTACATCTCCTTGGCTCTTCTAAACTCCCCAAGAGTGTTATCAACTACCTTCACACTAAAATGAGCAATTTTTTATGGGGCAACAAAGAAGGGAAAAATCATTATCACCGGAAGAAGTGGGCTGCCCTTTGCTACCCAAAAGAGGAAGGAGGTCTGGGTTTCACTAACCTTGAAACCTTACAAGAAGCATATGGTCTTAAGATGTTGTGGAGCTATACTCTCAATAACTCCCTCTGGGCCAGGTTTATGCACAACAGATACCCAGCAGGTCTGGAGACAACTTGCAAACCTACTGATTCTCCTAACTGGAAGAGACTCCTTTCAGCTAAAACCATTGTTGATTCCTATGAGAATAACCCCTTCTGGGATACCCACTCTGGTTTCACTATCAGGAAAGCCTATGAAGCTCTGAGAGAGAAATCCCCCACTGAAACATTCCTAAAATCTGTGTGGCATAAAAAACACATCCCATCTATTTCTATTTTCCTTTGGAAAATCTACTACAACATCCTCCCTTTCCCTAAACAACTCACCCGGTTTGGGCAAAACCTTCCTTCTATGTGTCTTTTTTGCGGGAACAATGAAGACAATGCGAACCACACACTCAAGGATTGCAGATTCAGTAAAAATATCATAGCGCACGAAATCTGGAAGGAGAGAAACAGAAGAACATATGACAACGAATCAAAAACTGAAACCCAAAGCATCCATATGATCTGGAAAAAGTTGCTGGAATGGACAATAGTAAAAGGAAAGAGGAGAATCAGCGTCACTCACTCGTCCATCCCATTCATTTCATTACCAGCAATTCACACCTTCCCCTGGACAAGCGCAAGGGAAGGGCTGATACTCAGTACACATGTTGCGGTGAAAGATCATATCATGTGTGGAGGAGCAATCCTATGCACAGGCTCAGGAAGATTCATTGGAGCAAAGTCAGCGATTATCCAAGGAACATAAAACAGTGAAGAAGGAGAATTGGCTTCTGCACTAATGGGCCTCAAATGGGCTATTAGTATCACAACACAACCCATCAACATCCACTTAGATGCAAAAAATGCGGTGAAACGAATCACGGAGAATAAACAGGAGGACCTTTTTAGTAACGAGATTCATCTGCTGCTGGCAAAAAATAGAGGTCTAGCCAGACATATTTTCAGAGAGGAAAATACAGCAGCTCACTCTCGCGCACGTCACGCTCTCACTAATAACTTGTTTCGATCATTCAATGTATTAGCAGAATTACCTCCATCTGTTAGAGGGGCAATTTACTGTGACCCCCTTTGTACCTTTATTCGTATCACTTAATAAAAATTTTCTTCCAAAAAAAATGTATATGTATATGTATATATGCTTATGTATATATTTCGGATATACATATAATAAATGTTATATTATTTATTTTGTGTTAATTATATGATAATTAAAGTTGACAAAATAAATTGGAAGCTTTCTTAAAGTACCATTCGAAATTTCCTAAGTAGAATAGGAATGGAATTTGATTTCCTTCCTAAACTCTAAAAGGTACATTCCTATTAGGAATATGAATGGGGATTAAGCTTCTTATAAATAGGAGATCATCCCACCCCTTTTAGATCACTAGAATTTCGGCCCTAACCATAATTTAAGAGAGAAAATTTTTTTGTTCTCTTAATACTTTACACCAAATATTTTATATTTTAGAAATACTCAAGAGTAAAATTACTAGCATAATTTTTCTCTAGAATGCTCTTCATTGTTCGTGTGTCTCAACTGGAGGTCATATACTTTTGTGGCTAGGTCTTGGATCAATCCATCAACCTACACATATCGTTGCTTGCTCGCCAAGAAAGGTATATTTCTTAACAATAACTTATAATAATCATAAGAGGTCCTGGGTGGATCTATGTTTGGACAATAAAATTTTGTTTTCCGCTGCTCTATCCAAGCGTATTACCCAACAGTGGTATCAGAGCCGACTTATGAGAATTATAAGTTTTGTAGATCTAATTGCCGTTAGGGTTTTTGATAATTGATAAAAAAAATATATGTGTATATATTTTCGAAAATTATCCAAAATTCAAGAAAGTGCCAAAATATGATTCTGGACTTTATTAAATTCGAAAATATGATTTTTGAATTAAATTTTGGATTTATTTTTATTTTTGGGTTAATCGGTTAAAAACTGTTTTAACCAATTAAAATATTTCAAAAATTCGAAAATTAAATTTTATTAAATCTGAGACTTTCAAATTATGATTTAAAGACCTCTGGACATTTAAATTTAATTTTCGGAATTTTCGGAATTGATTTCCTAATTTCCTAAGAGCTCTAGAAATTTAAAATTAATTTTCGGAATTTACTTTCTAATTTATAAAGTATTAGTTGATTTGTAGTTAATTTGATTAATTACAACATAAATACAAAATAAATTAAGGAAAATAATTTTAATACCTCTGAGTTGTTAAAATATTATTTTAAGTAATATGGAAAATTAAAATAAATTTTCTATTTTTATTTTCTATTTTTCTTGATTTAAATAATCTTATTCGGTATTAATATAGATTAAACCAAAAAGGACAATCAAAATTCGGGATTCTATTTTTATGAACTTGAACATATTGTTGAAACACGGGCTTGTCACATTTTCGTACTAAAGCCGTGTTCGTTTTTATGACAGGTTTTGATAATGCCAAACCGTTGTGATCAAGTAGAACATTGAACACACAAGGCGAAGAACGAAGATGAGAACAAGAGCTAAAAGAAGACCAAGAACGAAGAACATAGTCCTAGTGTCGTTGAGTCGGTCTTTATTGTGATCAAGACCGACACAATCTTCACACCTTAGCTCTTTAGGCTAAATTCTTTTCATTGCATCTCTTACATCATAAAAATGTTTTTCAAACATGTTTAAATCTTTAAAAACACTTGGTGTTCGCCCAAACCAAAAAACCAAGCCATCCGGCATTCGGCTTTTAGAAACCGGCGTTCGACATTCGGTTATCGGTGTCGGTTTTTGGCGTCCGAACCAACCAAGTGGTTTTCAACATTTTATGATTGGTTTTCACTCTTGGGCATGTTTAAACAGTTCTCAAACAAAAACACCTTGAAAACCACCTTTCGTTTTTGGTCGTTTGGCAAAAACCATGCAAAACAGCGTAAGCTTGGCTAGAAGTGGTTTTTACTCAAATGATGTGGTTTTTAAAGTGTCTCACTTGATTTCTTAGGTAAATACATCAAACAAGTGTTTTGAACACTTGTTTTTTTATTTTGGAGAACTTTGGATTTTTCGATCGGTTTTTGCATCGGTTGGCTAGGCCGTGGTTAAGGCAAAAACCATGGGTTTTTGGCTAACCACCCACCCAGCGATGGGAAGAACTTCCCATCAATGGGTAAGTGGTCCCTTAGCCAAACAAACTTCCAGAACCATGCCAAACAGCGATGGGAAGTTCTACCCATCGCTGTTAAAGCCTTGGTCCAACATCAAAACAAGGCAGAATTATCTTACCTAGCGATGGGGAACTTATCCCATCGATGTGAACCCAGCGATGGTAAGGCTTAACCATCGATGGGAAGGCATGACCGTTGGAAGTCATTTAAGGTTGATTCTTTCCTTGTTTGGAAGTCAACCTCTCACCCAGTGATGGGAAGCTTGTACCCATCGATGGGTAGGTGATCGTTTGCTTCAAAACTGAAGGAAAATTGGCTTACCAGTGATGGGTGAGTCCAAACATCAATGGGAAGCCAATATCCTGCAGATCCTCTTTTTAATCAACCCCATAAATCAAGCAAATCACCCCTTTAATGCATTGGCCCGTTGGAGCCTATTTTGGCACTATAAAAAGGGGTGTTTGGGTCTGCTTTTCTCATCAATTCGCTTCACAATTCTCCTACTTTCATTGCATTCAAACAACATTCTTTTCCATAGCTTTTTAGAGCCAATTCGTGTGAAGTTTGAGTTGTTCTTGAGCGTATTTAGTTTACTCAATGTCTACCCTAAAAGAGAGTCTTGTTCTTGAGTGCATTTGTGTTCTAAGACACGTTGAGAGAAAGTATTTCTCTCGTTTGATTCGAAGGAATGGCTGTTTCCTTCGAAGGATTCGTTGAGGTTCGTGTGACTCGAACTCTCAAGTTGTAAGGGTTTGTTAAGCACCGTTAAGCTTAACGAGATAGTAGTGTAGCTCGAGAGAGTCTCTCGGGAGGCTGGATTAGCCGCAAGTTGTGGTGAACCAGGGTAAATTCGGTGTGCCTCTTACTCTTCTCTTTACATCTCTTTTAATTTTTTAATTCCTGCGATTTCTACGATCAAACGCTATTCACCCCCCCTCTAGCATTGGTCTATTATTCTAACAATTGGTATCAGAGCCTAACTCGCGTCCAAACTTAACCGTTTGAGAGTAAAGCGATCATGGGTTCTTCTTCTAGAAATCTTTATGCAGGGATCGGAGAAGCTCAATCAACTTCTAGGCCACCACTCTTTGATGGCACCAACAACTCATATTGGAAAGAGCGGATGAGAATTTATATCCGCTGAACCAACTTCCAATTGTGGTTGGTCATCAAGAATGGCGAAGAAACGCCAATGAAGAAGGTTGGTGAAAAACTCGTCCCAAAGCCTGAGGACGAATTTGATGCCGAAGACATCAAAAAGGTGGAGAACTACGCCAAGGCAATCAACATGCTGTACTGCGCGGTCAACCCCGACGATTATCGCAAGATCTCTTGCTGCACCACCGCCAAAGATAAGTGGGACAAGTTGGAGGTCACATACGAAGGTACGGACCAAGTTCGGGAAGCCAAAATTGACTTCCTAACGCAGGAGTACGAAATGTTCAGGATGAAGGAAGGCGAAAAGATCGATGACATGTTCGATCGGTTCTCCAAGATCATCAACGACCTTCATGCCCTCAAGAAGACTTACGCCAACAAAGATTTCATGAGGAAAATCCTGCTGAGTCTCACACCCGATTGGAGATCAAAGGCCGATGCAATCTACGAATCCATCGATGTCTCCAACGTTACCATCGACGGGTTAAGAGGTAATCTCAAAACTTATGAATCTACTATTCTAACCCCGTCTTTTGATGAACAAAAGAAGAAAGGAATAGCGCTCAAAGCAACCAAAGAGACGGTGGAAGAAGTCTCAAGAGATGATGACAACGAGTTCGGACTCGTCATCAAGAAATTCCACAAATTTATGAAGAAGGAATTTGAGCGCAAAGGAAGAAAGCACGACGGTCCCCCGAAGTGCTATGGCTGTGGCAAGATAGGCCACATCAAGCCGAGGTGTCCAAAAGGAAAAAACGGCAAGGACAAACCTGGCTTCAAATAGCAAAGAGCCTATATCTCATGGGGTGGCGACTCCGGCGACGAGTCAACTGATCAGGAAGAGGATGAAGCCGCCAACCTCTGTCTCATGGCACACGAAGACCACGCCGACGAAGTACAAGAGATATGTACCATTTCTTCTGACTCTTACACTTTTGAAGAGATGCAAGAAGCACTTCGTGAGCTTTATGATGAATTTGTTAGCGCTTCTAAAACCAACAAATCATTAAAGAAACGTCTTTCAACTCTTGAAAATGATTTTGAAAAACTAGAAAAAGATAATGAAAAGTTGAAACAAGAAAATAAATTTTATGGCAAAAGAAGCGCTGACAAACCGGAAAGCTCTTCAAGTGAATGTGAATCCTGCAAAACTTTAAAAGAAAAAGTTGCAAAGCTTGAGAGTACGGTTAAGAAATTCAATACCCCACACAAAGATCTTAACTTACTTCTTGACACTATGCACTTTTCTAAGGAAGGATTAGGTTTTGATAAAAACAAATCTAAGGATAAAAATGTTGAGCAAACACCTAGACAACCTCCAAAGGCTCAACATAAGAAAAATAGAAAATCTAATCAACCTAAGGACACTAGACAACCTAGACAAAAACCTAGGAATGAAAATGTACATGATTGACAACCTAGGAAAAATAATCAAAATGAATTTGTACATAAAAATAATTTTTCATATAGACAAAATAATGCTACGACACCTAGAAGAGAGAATTTTCAAAAACCAATATTTTCTCAAAATAGGATGAATATGGTTAGGCCCCCTAGCAACCATTATCAACCTAGGAGGATGCACAACCCAAACGTAGTTTGTCATTATTGCAATAGGGTAGGACATATAGCTCCCGTTTGCTTTACTAGGCATAGGCATTGGACACAAAATGAATCACACTACCATTTTGCACCTAACACTCAAGGACCCAAAAAGACTTGGGTACCTAAATCTTATTAAATCATTTTTGTAGGTGTGCTTGAAGGCGTCAAGTGTACTTTGGTACCTTGATAGCGGATGCTCCAAGCACATGACCAGAGATGCATCCAAGTTCCTACAAATTAAACCCACTAAAGGAGGAAACGTAGTCTTTGGAGATAATAGAAAAGGAAAAATTATTGGCATCGGTTCGGTAGGTAAGTCCGAAGACTCTTCTATAGATAATGTCTTGCTAGTTAAAGGTTTTAAACACAATCTCTTGAGCATAAGTCAATTATGTGACAAGGGGAACCGTGTGACCTTCGATTCAAAATCATGCACGGTAGAACGCCTTAGTGACAATAAGGTCATTTTATGTGGTGATAGAATCGATAACATATATATGGTTAACTTAGACAAATCTCCTTCCGACTTTGCTAAATGCCTCATGAGTAAAGAGGAAGACACTTGGTTATGGCACCGAAGGGTAGCTCATATGAACATGAACCTTTTGAACAAATTGGTTTCACAAGACTCAGTAATTGGCATCCCAAAACTTAAATTTGAAAAAGACACCATATGTGATGCATGTCAAAAGGGGAAGCAAGTTCGGGCTTTGTTTAAGTCTAAGAACGTTGTTTCAACATCTAGACCGCTTCAACTTTTGCACATGGATCTCTTTTGTCCTTCTAGAACAAAAAGTTTTGGTGGTAATTACTTTGCGTTTGTGATTGTCGATGACTACTCTAGGTTTACATGGACCTTGTTTCTAACTCACAAAAGTGAGGCCTTTCACGTTTTCAAAAATTTTCTAAAGAAAGTTCAAAATGAAAAAGAAACAACCATAGTAACCATTAGAAGCGACCATGGGGGAGAGTTCGAATGAAATCTATTCTCAGATTTATGTGACGAACTCGGCATTGATCATAATTTCTCAGCCCCACATACACCACAACAAAATGGAGTGGTGGAACGTAAAAATAGATCTCTCGAAGAGATGGCTAGAACTATGATCAATGAGGCAAAAATTCCTAAGTATTTTTGGGCGGATGCCGTGAGTACCGCGAGCTACGTGTTAAACCGAGCCGTCATTCGACCGATACTCATGAAAACGCCTTATGAACTATACAAAGGGAGAAAGCCAAACCTTTCCCATCTTCGAGTCTTTGGTTGCAAATGTTTTATTCATAGCAATGGCAAAGATAACTTAGGCAAATTTGATGCCAAGTCGGATGAAGGAATTTTTCTGGGTTATTCACTTCGTAGCAAGGCCTATAGAGTCTTTAATAAACGCACCTTGACTATTGAGGAATCCCCTCACGTTGTATTTTCCGAAGATAACCCTCGCTTGGTGAGAAAGGATATTTGTGATGATCTTGCAGATTCACTACAGAGGATACACGTCGAAGACGATGAAGAGAACACGGGAATATACACCAACACGCAGCCGCAAATTGGGGAGATGCCTCAAGCGACTAACCAAGGTGAAGAAGAAAATCAAGAGGAAGAAGAAGAACAAGAGGAACATGAAGAAGAAGCAACCGAGCTTCCCATTGCATGGAGAACGAACAAGAACCATCCGCTTGACCAGGTAATCGGTAGCATCAATCGCGGGGTAAGTACTCGAAACTCACTTAGGGACACCGTAGGACACATGGCTTTCGTTTCTCAAATTGAACCTACAACCATCTCCGAAGCAATAAACGATGAACATTGGACCTTGGCTATGCACGATGAGCTAAACCAATTCAAACGGAATGACGTTTGGGAATTGGTGCCAAGGCCCAATGATCGTACGATTATTGGTACGAAATGGGTGTTCCGTAACAAACTTGATGAAAATGGAATAATCACTAGAAACAAAGCTAGGCTCATAGCTAAAGGCTACAATCAAGAAGAAGGCATTGATTTCGAAGAAACTTATGCACCCGTAGCACGTTTAGAAGCTATTCGTTTACTTCTTGCTTTTGCTTCGTCTATGGATTTTAAACTTTATCAAATGGATTTTAAGAGTGCCTTCCTCAATGGTTTTATTCAAGAGGAAGTGTATGTTGACCAGCCCCCGGGGTTTGAAGACATTGAGTTTCCCGACCATGTCTTCAAACTCAAGAAAGCGCTCTACGGTCTTAAACAAGCACCCCGTGCCTTGTACAAACGTTTGAGTAAATTTCTTTTGGATAGTGGTTTCTAAAGGGGAATGGTTGACGCTAAACTTTTTATCAAGAGTAAAAACAATAACATCCTTTTGGTTCAAGTTTATGTAGACGATATTATATTCGGTGCTACTAACGAATCTTTGTGTAAGGAATTCTCAACGTTAATGACAATTGAATTCGAAATGTCAATGATGGGCGAGCTCATGTTCTTTTTGGGACTCGAAGTCAAGCAAATGAAAGATGGCACGTTCATTTGCCAAACTATATACTGCAAGGAGCTCCTAAAACGGTTCGAAATGGACAACGCCAAAGCCATGGCCACCCCGATGAGCACGTCTGACCATCTAGACAAAGACGAGAAAGGTAAGGAAGTAGAAGTCAAAAAGTATCAAGGTATTATCGGATCCCTTCTTTATCTTACCGCTAGTAGGCCGGATATCATGTTTAGCGTATGCCTTTGCGCAAGGTATCAATCATGTCCGAAGGAATCACACTTAACGGGGGTGAAACGGATCATGAAATACCTTGTTGGCACGGTTAACGTTGGATTGTGGTATCCAAAAGGCTCTTTGTGTCATCTCGTTGGTTATTCCGACTCTGACTTTGCCGGTTGCAAATTGGACCGTAAGAGTACGAGTGGGACTTGCCACTTACTTGGTAGCTCTGTAGTTTCATGGTTTAGTAAGAAACAAGTCAGTGTTGTGTTATCCACAACAAAAGCGGAATACGTTGCCTCCGGTATATGTTGTGCTCAAATCCTTTGGATGAAGCAACAACTCGTGGACTATGGCCTTAGTATCAGTGACGTTCCACTTCGGTGTGACAATACTAGCGCCATAAGCTTGACGAAGAACCCCGTTCTTCACTCAAGGACGAAACACATTGACATTAGGCAAACTTTCATTAGAGATCATGTTCTCAAAGGTATTAGCCGACGTTTTCACAAAACCATTAGAGAAAGAGTCGTTCTTCCGCATTCGTAGTGAAATCGGAATCCTTGACTCCACGATGATCTAATTTGTGCATTTTATCACTCTTTTATCTTTGCTTGAACGTTTACTAACTTGGGTGTCAGAGGGTTTTCGAACACTTTTTTGCAGGGACGGTTCGAGGTGAAGGAATCCGGAAGTCAGGGGGAACCAGCGATGGGTGGGTTATCTTTGCAGGGACGGTTTTCTTTTTTCACCAACCCCTCTTCCCATCGATGGGTACTGTCTCCTATCGATGGGTAATTGACTCTATTTTTAAAAAAAATTTTAACGGATTTCCAGAAACCCCTTACCCATCGATGGGAACTTCCTCCCATCGCTGGGTGTTTGACACTATTTTTTTTAAAGGTTTTAACAGATTTCCAGACGCCACCTTCCCATCGATGGGAGAATCCTAACATCGTTGGGAAGGCAGCCTTGTTTTCTCCTTCGCTTTCCAGTGGCGACCTTCCCATCGATGGGAAGATCTACCCATCGCTGGGATGACTAGTGTGATTCAAATTTTCGGAGCCGTTGGGCACCCCATTAATTGCCCAACAGCTATATTTTTTGAATCCAAACGGTCTATACCTCTCTTCCCTATATATATTCATCATATTTGTTCATTCTAATACACCATTAACATCATAATTTCACTCCTTCATCCAAATCTACATATTTGATCTCTCTTTCTTCAAAACTGCCTCAGCAATGGCCGGTGGAAAATTCAAATCGAAGGCCTCCAAGAAGAAGGGCAACGCCGAAGCTACGACCTCAGCGCCCCCACCGTTTCCCTATCTCGACGGCTCCTTCCTTGAGTTCGGGTCGGAGGAGGAACTCACCCGGTTCCTCACGCACTTCGCCAAGTGCTCGATCTGTCTGCCTCGCGTGCTCCCGGAGTTGTTCCCCCAACAAAAGGGGTACCACGACCTCGACAATCAACTCAAAGAGTCGGGTTTGTGGCCCTTCGTCTCCAAGAGCCACACCTCCTTCAATCCCGCCTATGTCCGGGCCTTCTACTCCAATCTCCGCCGGGACGGGGACACCATCCGCACTAGCATCAATCTCTACGACATGGAGATTGATTTGCCTACCTTTGCTCGGGTCGCAGGGCAGCCCACCTGCGGTGACGACATCGCGACGTATGGTGGCGACGATTAGATCCTCAACAATGAGGCCGTCGTCATCCGTGAGCTCGGGATCACCAACTTGATCCGTCATAGTGGCACACCGACGATTCACTCGGCCCCACCGGAGAAGCGCCTCCTCCTCTACATCCTCACCCGAATCCTCCGCCCCCAGGATGGCAGCCACACCTCGCTCTTCAACGAGGACTTGAAGGCGATTCATGCGATCATGCACGGCGCCTCCAACAATTGGGTGAAATTCGTCATGCTTCACACGATGGATTGCGCTTCCATCATCAACGAGTGGAGCTTGCCGTACGCCTTCCTCGTCATGGACCTCATCGTCTCCGCCGACATCCACATCGCCGGGCCAAGCACGAAGATGACAAAGCTTTGGATCATTGCCAAAAACACCTTCAAGAAGAAGTCCGGAACCTGAGACGATGCCGGACCGAGTCGTGCCCGTGCCCGTGCCCCTGCCCCCGCTCCCGCTCGGGCCTCGTTGCAGTCCATAGCCGACACCCTAAATCGGCTAACCCTCACGGTGGACAGCATGGGGCAGTACATGGAGAACTACATGGAGAGGATGGACTAGACGCTGCAACGCCAACACCACGACATGAGGGCGTTCTTCCGCGGCATCAACTACGTCCCGCCGCCCTTCGACAGCACCATCCTTGGCCAAAACTTTGAAGGCGAGGATGAGGACGACGACTCCTATGCTCCGTCTTCCTCCCCCGATGAGGCCGACTTTGAGGACGCGGTGGACGGCGATCCCATGGACGTCAAGGACGACGAGGATGACGACGGGGACGACGAAGCCAACTCCTAGGCTCTTTTTATTCCTCTTCCATTATGATTGTTCTTCTTTTAATTTTCATTCCGTTGTATTCCGCATTTCCCTTTTGTTTTAATGAATAAAAGTTTACTTTTAATTCTAAATTTCACTTTTAATTCTTTTTGTTAATGTCAAAAGGGGGAAGATATAAAGGTTATGCATAAATTAAGGGGGAATTTTTTTTTCTCATCACAAATACTTTGTTGAAAATAAAATTGCATTTATTAAGGGGGAACATTTTTTTAAGTCTCAAAATAATCCTCTTATGCATAACCTCGCCTTGTTTGCCATTATCAAAAAGGGGGAAATTGTTGAAACACGGGTTATCACAATTTCGTACTAAAGCCGTGTTCGTTTTTATGACAGGTTTTGATAATGCCAAATTGCCGTGATCAAGTAGAACATTGAACACACAAGGCGAAGAACAAAGATGAGAAAAAGAGCTAAAAGAAGACCAAGAACTAAGACCGTAGTCTTAGTGTCGTTGAGTCGGTCTTTATTGTGATCAAGACCGACACAATCTTTACACCTTGGCTCTTTAGGCTAAATTCTTTTCATTGCATCTCCTACATCATAAAAATGTTTTTCAAACATGTTTAAATCTTTAAAAACACTTGGTGTTCGCCCAAGCCAAAAAACCAAGCCATCCGGCGTTCGGCATTCGGTTATCGGCGTTGGTTTTTGGTGTCCGAACTAACCAAGTTTTTTTCAACATTTTATGATTTTTTTTCACTCTTTGGCATGTTTAAACAGTTCTCAAACAAAAACACCTTGAAAACCACCTTTTGTTTTTTGGTCGTTTGGCAAAAACCATGCAAAATGGCGTAAACTTGGCTATCCGTGGTTTTTACTCAAATGACGTGGTTTTTTAAAGTGTCTCACTTGATTTATTAGCTAAATACATCAAATAAGGGTTTTGAACACTTGTTTTTTTATTTTGGAGAACTTTGGATTTTTTGGTTGATTTTTGCATCGGTTGGCTAGGCCGTGGTTAAGGCAAAAACCATGGGTTTTTGGCTAACCACCCACCCAGCGATGGGAAGAACTTCCCATCGATGGGTAAGCGGTCCCTTAGCCAAACCAACTTCTAGAACCATTCCAAATAGCGATGGGAAGTTCTACCCATCGCTGTTAAAGCCTTGGTCCAACATCAACACAAGGCAGAACGTCCTTACCTAGCGATGGGGAACTTATCCCATCGATGGGAACCCAGCGATGGTAAGGCTTAACCATCGATGGGAAGGCATGACCGTTGGAAGTCATTTAAGGTTGATTCTTTCCTTCTTTGGAAGTCAACCTCCCACCCAGCGATGGGAAGCTTGTACCCATCGATGGGTAGGTGACCGTTGGCTTCAAAACTGAAGGAAAATTGGCTTACCACCGATGGGTGAGTCCAAACATTGATGGGAAGCCAATATCCTGCAGATCCTCTTTTTAATCAACCCCGTAAATCAAGCAAATCACCCCTTTAATGCATTGGTCCGTTGGAGGCTATTTTGGCACTATAAAAAGGGGTGTTTGGGTCTGCTTTTCTCATCAATTCGCTTCACAATTCTCCTAATTTCATTGCATTCAAACAACATTCTTTTCCATAGCTTTTTAGAGCCAATTCGTGTGAAGTTTGAGTTGTTCTTGAGCGTATTTAGTTTACTCAATGTCTACCCTAAAAGAGAGTCTCGTTCTTGAGTGCATTTGTGTTTTAAGACACGTTGAGAGAAAGTATTTCTCTCGTTTGATTCGAAGGAAGGGCTGTTTCCTTCGAAGGATTCGTTCAGGTTTGTGTGACTCGAACTCTCAAGTTGTAAGGGTTTGTTAAGCACCGTTAAGCTTAACGAGATAGTAGTGTAGCTCGAGAGAGTCTCTCGGGAGGCTGGATTAGCCACAAGTTGTGGTGAACCAGGGTAAATTCGGTGTGCCTCTTACTCTTCTCTTTACATCTCTTTTAATTTTTTAATTCCTGCGATTTCTACGATCAAACGCTATTCACCCCCCTCTAACATTGGTCTATTATTCTAACACATATGATTTTCAGACTGCACAAAATTTTAAATTATGGAAATTTAATATTTGGTATTAATATAATAATATTCTAAGAGTACTGATTTTTGGAACAATTATGCTACACGAAAATAATTTTAGAAATTGTGTTATGGATTACCAAATAATAAATAGAAAGTACCGAAAATAAATTTAAGTAAAATCTGGAAAATTTTGTTTTCAGATTGTACATGATTCAAAAACTTTATTTCTGGAAAATATTGATTTTTGGAATATTTGGAATATTCTAAATTAATTTTGGAAATTAATTTAACTTCTTTTGGAAACAAATTACAAGATACCCAAAATAAAATTTATTTAATTCTGGAAATTTGATTTTCAGAACAATACAGACAAAAAGTAAATATTTTGGAAAATATTAATTTTTGGAAACTCGGAATTAATTTTTGGAAAATAGAAGTCCAATTTTGGGTATTTGAATAAAGAATTTCGAAAATAAATTTTATAAATTCTGGAAATTTTATTTTTAGACTTATAAAATCATAATACACATTCTGGAGGGTTATTTATTAATTTTCAAAAGGTATAAGTATTTATTTGGAATTAAAATCCCAATTTCAAAATTAATGCCTATATTTATGGTAATTAACTATTTTAAAATTCAGGATAATTCCAAATTAAATTTTGGATATTCTGGAGTATTAAAATAAATTTAAATAAAATTATTTGATAATTTTTTAGGCTTGTAGTTTATTTTTCTTAGAATAAACTAGGTCTAGGGCGAGCGCGGCTTGCCCGGTGTATGGTTTTTATGCATGTGATGTATGAATGTATGCATGGTGCGTGGTTGTGGCTTAGAATCATTGGTTTTTAAATACGGTCTGCGTGTGGTGCCTCATCTCTGAATTCTGGTTGTAAATCTCTTCTTAAACCTCATACCCCTTGCTTACAAAGCAAGGATTCTTTTCTCTCGATTAAACAAAGAAGTCCATGAAGAAGCAATGAAGATGATGGAGCCAAGAAGAAGGGGACACTAATAAGTAAGGGCTGAACTTGAAGACTAAGGCATTCTTAAAGAAAGAAGGTGAAGCTGGAGATAGAGATCTCAAGTGAAGGCTTTATCATTAGTTGTTTAGGAGGCCACAACCATGTCACGTTTTATTCATTATACATGTTTGTAAATATGTTTGTATGATATTCGCTAAAGTATGTGCGCGACACATGCCATAGGTGAAATCACGTTTAAAATCCCTCGTAATATTAAGTTTGTGCCTTCCGACGCCGACTCACTCGTCGATAACAGTTTCGATCAGTCAACGGACACGCCAAAGCGGGACGGCTGGTTTACAATAGTATGACACGAAATCCGTAACAATGGATACTGAGTACGCCCCAGGTTGAACTTAACTAAGTTAAGATAAAAAGATGAATAACTTAGAGGCACGTGGTTAGGTTAATAAATAAAATCAAATTCATCTAACCTAGAGTTGTAAAATGTTACAATTGGAAATAGTTCCTACCTGAAATAGTTTAACTATAGGGCAAGATGCAAACAACAACTATAGTTAGATGAAATAAGGATCTAGGCCCAATATAGGATTTTATTTAGAACAACCTAACAAACCAAGGATTGTAATTGGATCACAATTGGAAATAAGTTCCTACCTAATTAGTTAATTATAGGGCAAGATGCAAAACACAACTATAGTTAAATGTAATATGGACCTTGGCCCACTAAGATATCTCTTTAGGAGAAGTCTCGAATCAACATATTACGTACATGAGGGTAGTTGATTTGTTAAAATAGTTGGAGAGTTATTAGTTAAAGACCTAGCTAATCACTTAGATTCTTGATATTAACTATCTTGCAAATTATATGTAGATGTCTAATAAAAACCATAACCTCACTCTTCGCTCGATCCTCGACAAAGATAAGTTGACCGGCTCTAACTTCTTAGACTCGCAAAGAAACCTTGTTATCGTTCTTCGACTCGAGAAGAAAGAATATGTGCTCGAACGAGCCATCCCACCTGTCCCGGCTGCCAATGCTTCTAGAGCAATCAAGGATACTTATGAGAAGCATGTTGATGATGAAATGAGGTGGCATGTCTCATGTTGGCTAAGATGACTTCTGACCTTCAGAAACATCATGAGAGTATGAAGGCATACGATATGATCATACACCTAAG